AGACAGTATGACCTAGATGGTCAGCACCCAAAGTGGGGCTGTTCTGAGCATAATGGATAAGCAGCTAATATCTATGCTAGAAATAATAATAAATCAGGCCATGTGATAACCCTTGAAATAATATGCATTTCACAGCCACCTTTCCTAAAGGTTATGAGGACTAAGAGAAGTAAGAATTTGGGTGTAATGAGAAAGACGGATGGCATTTTACGACAATGAAGGATTGAAATCAGTAAGGAGGTAGGATGTTGTTTTATAGGTTTATACTATCACAATGACCTAAAACAAAACATAATGAGGCAGGAGTAAAAGACAAGGCAGAAGTATATTGGAAGCAGAATGTTCTTAATTTATTCATAACTAAAATAAGATAATCCTTTACAATTATTATAGCTGTATTTTAAAAAGAACCCAAAGGCAGATAAATAATCACTATTTTACAAAACAGAAATAAAAAGAACCAAGAGTATTTAAACCCCACTTCATACTTAATGACTCCATGTACTAAAGGCCAAGATTTAAATTTCTTCTCTTTTTCCAATGAAATCTCTATTCAATTCTCAACCTTCTGAAGTATCACTTCCATAGCTTTCAGTCTGGGTGCTTCTTTGAAATATACAGCATACACCAAAACATAAGCCTTCATTTCCTTTCCCACTTAAGCCATTAAATGTTTTAACAACAAATTAGGCTGCACTATATACTTTGTAATTTTTAAGATATATTGAATTTTATGTGTATGTGGGTTTTCCCTCCATGGACATTATGTGTACAACATGTGTGCCTGTTGCCTGCAGAGGTCAGAGGGTATCAGATTTCCTGGAAGTTCTGGAAATGGAACCCCAGTCCTCTGCAAGAACAACAAATGTCTTAAGTGCTGAACCAATGCTCTAGTCCCATGCTAACTATTCTGTAATGGCCAAGGGCAACTTGAATGGATTTTTAAATCTGCAAAAACCCTGTAATACAGCATCCGTCTATCTCTCCAGCACACCTGTGTCCTTTGTGAGGAAGACAGTTTTCTCCTTAATCTTTATTTCTCTCTTTATTTCAAAAATACAAATTACTCATCATGCAGAATAGCACATTTGTAAAAAGAATTTGTTTTTAGAAAGAGACTGTTAAATAGGATTCCATGGTGGATTTCAGTGTATTTTTAAGTCGATGTGAAGGGATATGTGGTAATTACTGAGGATTACACTGCAGCCAAGATGCCAGGGCTCACACTCTCATGGCTAGAGGAAAGAGGACTCAAATGAGTTCTAATGGAAGACAGCAGAAAACAAAGGCCTAACTGTTTGTCTTTTCAGACCTGGAGGACAAGTGTTTTTAGAGAACACTATATATACTTTTAAATAACATGACTGGCAACCCAGTGCAGATAGCATTTCTCAGCTGCTGTCAATCAGCGTAACCGGAGGAAGATACAACTACACTACCTCTTGGAATCTTGAATTCCACATTTTATTTTTGAAAAATCTTTAAAAAGGAAAATTCAATACAAGCATATTCTGATCATTTACCCAATTGGAATTTCTGTGTGCAAGTTTGTGTGTATTAATGAGACATTAATGCAAATTTATTTGTTACAGAATATATCTGCATAAAGGGAAAGCTAAATTGTCAAAAAATACTATATAAATGCAGGGTTCGTTGCAGTTTTAATATAAAAGGTAAGAAAATGGAACATCAAAACTGATAAAGATTCGATTTGAACAAGAGACACATCTTAATTCCAATGAATGATAGTTCATCAACAGCATGGCTATTTAATCTAAACTAACCTACACAACTAACCAATGCTTTTTATTTTATCAGATATAACTTGCCAAAAGAGAATCTCCTCAAAATTAGGGTTGGGGAAGGGTTTTGTTTCTGTCTTTTCAGGAGAATAAAGGTATCCAGTTAAGGAATCTGAAGACCACTGGACAAATGAGACATCTGAAGAAAAAGGACAAATAATTAACCAGAAAAAAATGTCTCAAGAAAACAAGTAAATTGGCCTATTGGTATATCACATTTCCAACAATGAACCATGAGCAGGCCTAACAGAAAATTTTGAAGTCTCCATAAGGAGGATGGGGCCCCACAACAATGTTTCCTCAAGAACTATGATAACACCACATAAAGATTGGCTTTGGACTATAAACTGCTCAGAACAATTTCAAGGTGGCTAGCTAAGATGATCCAGCCTAATAGACTGCTGACAAGCCTTTTACCTTCCCTTACACAGAGACTGAAAAACAAATAATATAGCTACCTCTCCCAGGATTTGACAATTAACCCAAATTTTTCTTTTCAGATTTTTTTTTTTTTTTTTTTTAATGACAATGAGTCATGTCTGCTCCTGGCAGCACCAATCTATTTCAGCAAAGATAATGGGCTTCAAAGAAACTCCACATGGAGTTTACTTTCTTTGTGGCAAAAGTAAGCCACTAAGCAAGAAAATGCCCTTGCCTTGACTGCTGACAGTATGCTGTACTAATTGGACACAAAAGAGAGTGACTGCCAAACATCTTCAAGACAAGGTAGGACTGATGTGGGAGGGATTTCTTTCTAATCTGTTGCTTTCATTGGTTAATTAATAAAGAAACTGCCTAGGCCCATTTGATAGGCCAACTCTTAGGTAGGCGGAGTAAACAGAACAGAATGCTGGGAAAAAGAAGCTGAGTCAGGGAGTCGCCATGATTCTCCCACTCCAGACAGACGCAGGTTAAGATCTTCCCTGGTAAGCCACCTCGTGGGCTACACAGATTATTAGAAATGGGTTAGGTCAATATGTAAGAGCCAGCCAATAAGAAGATGGAACTAATGGGCCAGGCAGTGTTTAAATGAATACAGTTTCCATGTAATTATTTCAGGTAAAGCTAGCCGTGTGGGCGGCCGGGTGCCGGGGATGCAGCCCTGCCACCCTCCTCACTACAACATAGGACAACCCTTCAGAATATCCTGCTTCACAGAAAATTCTGTCGGATATACTAGGCCTGTAAGCCGAAGATAGATGCTCCAACATTGAAGAGAAACGTTGGGTGACAGTCCAGGCAGCCAACTGTTTCTGTCATTTCTCACATTTTTTGGAAGTTGCTTGTTTGCACTTCCTGATTAATCAGTTAATAATTATTTCCTTCTTGGGTTTCTGAGGGAGACTAGATAGTCATAGTTTTCCTTGTTTATCAGATGCAGAAAACAAGTTATGATAGAAAGTAAATTAGGTACAAGACTTTGACTCACTAAGATAGGATAGATAATGGAGTATTTTCTCTGAATTTGTCAAGTGCAAATGGACTAGACATTGTTGTAATATTTACTGCCTTATATATATTGTATACAGTTATTGTACTTATTGTATAGTTTTTCTTATATTAGTTATAGCCTTTTTTATTTTAGACAAAAATGGAAAAAAAATAATGGCATTATTATTTGTGGTTTGATAAATAAAACTTGCCTGAAGATTAGTACAAAGCAGCCACACCAGTCAGCCATACAAGCCAGGCAGTGGTTGCACACACCTTTAATCCCAGCAGTCACACTCGTCAGAAACAGAGGCTGGGCAGTAGTGATGCATGCCTTTAATTCCGGCTCTAGAGAGGAATATAATGTGGGAGGAGACAGGTCTCACTCTCAGTCTCAATCTGAGGATTGATTACCCTTTTGGTCTGAGACAGAGATAAGAGCCAGTGGCTGGCTGCTTTGCTTGTCTGATCTTTAGGGTCAACCCCAATTATCTGTTTCTGAGTTTTTATTAAAATAAGCCTTAAACACAAAGATCTACTTTACCAAAGACAAGTGTTCGACATAAAGTTTAAAAATGAAGGGGCTGGCCTCTTAGAAGAATGAAAGCCTCAATGTGTATTTCTGGCACCAAAATATTACCGATATCTTTGTTTAAAGTAGAAAAAGATAGCTGAATGTTAAGTGTTTGTCTGAAGAGAGGCTATGAGACTATAAGATTATACATGTAATCATCATATCATTAAAACAATAATAGAACAGAAAGAGGAAGAGAGGCAAGTGTACTGATCTAGTCTTAAATTACTTCATCTCTTACTCTTAAATGTTTTACAATAAGATATACAAACTTATCAATGTATAAAACAATTTATGAGGACAATTTAAAATATAGTGTCCTGTTTGAAATACGTACTCTCATCTATCTCTACGACCCACCTACCACATGACTGATTATTAGATTATTATTATTATTATTATTATTATTATTATTATTAGTATTATCATCATCATCAGTATTAGACACACAAGGACGAGTGTTAGCATTAGCACTGTCACAGCTGCCTGCAGTCTGGATCCCTGGATCCCTGTCTTTGGCTGGAGTTTCTGAACCTATAAAATGAGGCAGCTAAAAATGAACACCATCTATAAATTCTAACACATTCTATTTTTCTTTGCACACTTAATTTCATCATACAACCTGAGGTAGAAAAACTCCTGATTAGGTTTTCCCAAAGGCTAGTAGTGACATCCTATAAACATAAATTACTTTCCAAGTACATATCCAACAAGATTATACCTGCTTTAAAAATACTTCTCCTGAAGTACCAACAGGATAGTAAACACGGAAAACATGCAACATCTATAAGAAGGTCTATATTTTCATAGTTTAAAATATAGTTTAAAGAATAAAGAAAAATTTAAAGGCCTTTATCTGTGATAATATTGAATTACACATCTCTATTTAAATCAAGAAATTAAGCTTAAAAGTTTAAGTTTTTAAAAATCCCATCCCATTATTTTAATGTTATGGGTATTCTGTTCTCTGTTCTTACTTGCAAAAGAAAGCCCAGGCTGGATATTGTCCACAGGCCATCAGTAGGAATAAAGTATACTGTCAGCCACTAAGCTACCTCACAGAGGATTGCTGTGCATTTGAAATCAACACAAGGTATGGACTCTCACAATAGTGTAGCTTAAGTACAATGAAAACCCCAAAATTTAGTTAACTATTAGTTGATGCACTTTCTTAAAAACTCATTTTGACTCACCTTTGTCCAAGGATGTGCCTTGATTTGAGGGAATTTGAATTCTGTATAATTTGGGTTCATTTCTCTAATTTGCTCCCTTGTTGGTGTTCCCAGGACCTAAACCAAGAAAAACAAATACTGTTAACTTTTCCTATGTGTGTGTATGTGTGTGTGTGTGTGTGTGTGTGTGTGTGTGTGTGTGTATGCGCGCACTGGTTTTACTGAAATAAAAAATTCCAAGCAAATAAAATATAAAACTCAATAGATTTTGTAAGGACTTTTAAATTTGTATCAGTCTGTAAACCATGCTATACCGCCACAGACTACAGTTCTATGGTAAGTATACTGAAAATCTGAGTCATAGAAATATTACTAGAAAATATCCCAGGGACTGGCTTACCAGTTAACACAACTATCTGTAACTCTATCCCAGGAGGTGCTATAACACCACTGGCCTGTAAGAATGGCCAAGATCAAAAACACTGATGACAACCTATGCTGGAGAGGTTGTGGGGAAAAGGGAACACTTCTGCATTGCTGGTGGGAATGCAAGCGGGTACAACCCCTTTGGATGTCAGTGTGGCGATTTCTCAGAAAATTAGGAAACAACCTTCCTCAAGACCCAGTAATACCACTTTTGGGTATATATCCAAAGGATGCTCAATCGTGCTACAAGGACATGTGCTCTACTTTGTTCATAGCAGCTTTGTTTGTCAGAGCCAGAACCTGGAAACAACTTAAATGCCCCTTGATCAAAGAATAGATTAAAAAAAAAAAGTGGTACATCTACACAATGGAGTAGTACACAACAGAAAAAAATAACGACAGCTTGAATTTTGCAGGTAAATGGATGGAGCTTGAAAACATTATTTTGAGTGAGGTAACCCAGACACAGAAAGAGAATTATCACATGTACTCACTCATAGGTGGTTTTTAAACATAAAGCAAAGAAAGTCAGCCTACAAACCACAATCCCAGAGAACTTAGACAACAAAAAGAGACTTACATAGATCTAATCTACATGGGAAGTAGAAAGTAGAAAAAGACAAGATCTCCTGAGTAAATTGGGAGCATGGGGACCTTGAGGGGAGGATCAAAGGGGGAAGGAAAGAGGCAGGGAGGGGAGCAGAGAAAAATGTAGAGCTCAATAAATGTCAATAAAAAATGTATTTAAAAAAAAAAACCACCACCTGGCCTCTGAGGTTACCAAACACTCTCATGCTGCAGATACACATGGATGCAAAACAGTCATGCATATAAAGTAAATAAAAAATGACAAAATATTCCAGTAGCCCTGGCTTCCTTCCCATTGCATTCCAACACTGTTTAGCAGCTATAAGGAAATGCAACACAAGCTGGCCGGAAATGCAACACAAGCTGGCCAAGCCTAGCAATGCTGTAGCCTGAAATCTGTGCAGATTTCAAACAGGTCCTTCCTCAAAAGCGAGTCTCTAGGCTTGATTCATACATACATAAAAACCAAATTCAAAGAAAAGCTAAAAATTCAAGGTAAAATCAAGCAGATTCTACACTGAGAAAGAATGGATTTGTGAAACAAGTTTGCTGAAGAAAAAAAAAATCACACTACTTACAATTTAATGGCAGTTTCACAGGAGGGTAATATAATGTTAAATATTTAATTTGTGCTAACAATCAATGAATGATCGGGGTAGATCTAGACATTCTTTAAGACAGTCTCACTATGTGGCCCTTGCTGTCCTGGAACTCATGGATATCTGTCACCTGAGTGCTGGAATTAAAAGCATACCCAAGCATGCCTAAGCCACACTCTTTAGTTTTTAATAGGCTTTAATTCTCTAGACACCATTAAAACTTTTGTAACTTCATTGACTTTTAAAATACTTTTCTTTCTTTTTTTTAAAATTTATTTATTTATTAAAGATCTGTCTCTTCCCCGTCACTGCCTCCCATTTCCCTCCCCCTCCCCCTATCAAGTTCCCCTCCCTCGTCAGGCCAAAGAGCAATCAGGGTTCCCTGCCCTGTGGGAAGTCCAAGGACCACCCACCTCCATTCAGGTCTAGTAAGGTGAGCATCCAAACTGCCTAGGCACCCACAAAGCCATTATGTGCAGTAGGATCAAAAACCCATTGCCATTGATATTGAGTTCTCAGTAGTCCTCATTGTCCGCTATGTTCTGCGAGTCCGGTTTTATCCCAGGCTTTTTCAGACCCAGGCCAGCTGGCCTTGGTGAGTTCCCGATAGATCATCCCCATTGTCTCAGTGTGTGGGTGCACCCCTCGCGGTCCTGAGTTCCTTGCTCGGGGGCTGGAGAGATGGCTCAGAGGTCAAGAGCACTGCCTGATCTTCCAAAGATCCTGAGTTCAATTCCCAGCAACCATCTATAATGAGATCTGTGCCCTCTTCTGGCCTGCAGTCATACATGCAGGCAGAACACTGTATACATAATAAATAAATAATTTTTAAAAAAGTTAATAAGAAAAAAATAAAAAATAAAATACTTTTCTTCAAAAGATACTCTTAAGAAAATAAGATGACAAAGACTGAGATAAGATGGTAAAATACATTCTTCAACATATCTAGACTTTATCAGGATCTCTACTGATTCATAAAATACCGGAGATATCTGCACTCATATGCTTATTGCTTTACAATAGACCAGATCAATCTATGTGCATATTAACGGGTGATGGATACAGGAAAATGTGTCGTGCATACACAATGGAGTATTATTTTGCCATAAAACAGATGAACTTTTCTGTCTTTAGCAACAACATGAATAGAACTAGAGGACATTATAATAAATTAAGTTGGCCATAGAAAAACAATTATCACATGTTCTACTTATTTGGAAGGTGAAAACCGGCCACTCCGTTTATATATTTGTAGGAGGGCCTCTACATTAACAGTGGAGTAGAATCTACTCAATAGTAGTGATACAAAGTCCCTTAGTTATAGCTGTTAATCAGAACTTAACAGCAGTTTTTATCTTTAAAAAATGCACTTGTGACTTTTAAGAAGCTTTAGTAACTGACTTGTAGATTATCATTAAAAATCCTATCATTATTTTAAAAATCAATTAAGCAAATAAAGAAATTCCCCAGAACACTTTATTTAAATCCATCCAACCTTGAATTTATTAAGGCTATTAGATGTGGGAAAAGACATCCAAACATCACAAATGTTCTAGATCTCACTTCCCTTGCTAAACACTGAACCAGAGTCATTTTTCTACTCTTTGGATTAGCTTTTAAATCTTAAAGTCAAAGCACTTCCTAGGCAATTATGTTTTTTTTTTGTTGTTGTTGTTATTGATAAAGCTGGAAAATTGTAAAATAAAATGGTTAAGTTTCAAATCCTAGGACTGATGCCTGAGGTACCTATTTAACATATCAAAGCAGACCTGGCCTCCTGGTCCACCCAGCATCCCTCAGTCCCTATCTGTTACAGGATATGGCTGGCATAACCCCAACCTATACCCAGAACTCTCCAGCCCAGGGGCTAGACTGCCCTTACCTCTATCTTCCTTTTATCAACAATAAACTTTCTCCTCCACCATACCTAGGAGCAAATCTCTGTGAGTTTGAGGCCAGTCTGCTCTACACTGCAAATTCCAGGACAGCCAAGGCTAGATATGTAGGCAAAGCCACAAAAACAAAACAAAAAAATCATCTAACAATAAAAAATAAAAAGCCTTTAGAAGAAATTTCTATAAGCAAAATGACAGCATATACTATTAGGGTTACACCAGGTAGAAGAGATATTAAAATGATACTGAAAAAGATGAGGAGATACAGTTGAAAGCAGGTTGTATGTGAGGTGGTACATTACTATTATTACTTAAAACAGACTGACATTTTAAGGAGCTATAGTTTTAATCCTAGAATACCCTCTGAACAACACAGCAAGGAAATAAGTCTTAAAAAGCCATGATAGTTGATCCTTACTGCCACTTCAACAGGATTTACTATCACCAAGGAAAACATCTCTAGTGTCTCTGAGCTGCAACAAGCAGGGTCCTGGCAGGCTAATACCACCATTCATTGCTCTCTGCTTCTTGCCTGAGTGAAATGCAAAGAGCTGCCTGTGCTCCTGCTACCATGCATTCCTCACCACGATGGGACTGTGTCCTCTGACTCTGAGCCAAAATAAATCCTTCCTTACGTACTTTTGTCAGATATTTTGTCACGGTGATAAGAAAAATAACTAATTAAGAAGGAAACAGAAACAATACCTGGTGGCTCATATCCACAATCCCAACACTTGGGTGCTAAGACAGAAGGATTTACCAAGTCTGACAAGACAGGTCTACACAACAGGTCCAGACTAGGCAAAGCTACCTAGCTAGTAAATTCCCTATCTAAAATACAAAACCAAGGCCAGTCTCGTCTACAAAGCTTGTTCCAGGACAGGTAGAGCTGTTACACTGAGAAACCTACCTCAAAAATCCAAAATAGATGGTAGGTAGGTAGGTAGGTAGGTAGGTAGATATAGGTAGATAAAATAAAATTTAAAAACAAGTAAAACAAAAGCCAATAGAGTCCCTGAAGCCACTGACATATTACAAACTAGGGCCCAAACACTTGTGCATAAACCAACAACAGCAAAGATCAGTACAAAACCAACACAAAAAAGGTGAGGTTAAAGCGCCACACTACAGTGAGGGAAGGAATGGACTCCTGCAAACATCTGGAAGGAAAGCAAGGAGCTGATGTTTACTTAGAGAAATCTAGGAGGCAGATGGGACAGTAGCAAATTCTGTTCAAAATGGCAGCTAAGTTAGAAAGCAGCATGCTAATAAAAATAATACTCATTGGTTAGAAAATAAATGACAATGTAAGTCTAAGAGCCAGTGAGACACTATGACAACAAAGTGGGTATAATTATATAAAGTCAACACCAGGGCCGGGCGGTGGTGGCGCACACCTTTAATCCCAGCACTCGGGAGGCAGAGGCAGGCGGATCTCTGTGAGTTCGAGGCCAGCCTGGTCTACAAGAGCTAGTTCCAGGACAGGAACCAAAAAAGCTACGGAGAAACCCTGTCTCAAAAAAAAAAAAAAGTCAACACCACAAGTAAAAGACATTTTAGTAACTCAGCTATTACAGCTCACCTTCAAAACCACATTTTAATAGGTTAG